TGTGGACCACAGCAAACTATGGCAAGTCCTTAAAGAAATGGGAGTGCCTGACCACCTTGTCTATCTCCTGAGAAACCTATATGTGGGACAGGAAGCAACAGTTAGAACTGGATATGGGACAACTGATTGGTTCAAAATTGGGAAAGGAGTACGACAAGGCTGTATATTGTCCCCCAGCTTATTTAACTTATATGCAGAATACATTATGCCGAAGGCTGGACTGGAGGAATCCCAAACCGGAATTAAGACTGCCGGAAGAAATATCAACAACCTCCGATATGCAGATGATACCACTCTGATGGCAGAAAGTGAGGAGGAATTAAGGAACCTTGTAATGAGGGTGAAAGAGGAGAGTGCAAAAACAGTCTGAAACTCAACATCAAAAAAACTAAGATCATGGCCACTGGTCCCATCACCTCCTGGGAAATAGAAGGGGAAGATATGGAGGCAGTGACAAATTTTACTTTCTTGGGCTCCATGATCACTGCAGATGGAGACAGAAGTCCCAAAATTAAAAGACACCTGCTCCTTGGGAGAAAAGCGATGACAAACCTTGACAGCATCTTAAAAAACAGAGACATCACCTTGCCAACAAAAGTCCGAATAGTCAAAGCTATGGTTTTTCCTGTAGTGTTGTATGGAAGTGAGAGCTGGACCATAAAGAAAGCTGACCGCCGAAGAATTGATGCTTTTGAATTGTGGTGCTGGAGGAGGCTCTTGAGAGTCCCCTGGACTGCAAGGAGAACAAACCTATCAATTCTAAAGGAAATCAAACATGAGTGCTCACTGGAAGGACAGATCCTGAAGCTGGAGGCTCCAGTACTTTGGCCGTGTCATGAAAAGAGAAGACTCCTTGGAAAATACCTTGATTTTGGGAAAATGTGAAGGCAAGAGGAAAAGGGGACAACAGAGGATGAGATGGTTGGACAGCGTCATTGAAGCAACCAACATGAATTTGACACAACTCCGGGAGGCAGTGGAAGACAGGAGGGCCTGGCGTGCTCTGGTCCATGGGGTCACGAAGAGTCGGACACGACTAAACGACAACGACGACTCCACGTGCACCTCCCCAGTAAAACTAATAGCCAGCCTGGATTTTTCTGTAATATTTCCAAGTTAAACAAAGAATCCTTCAATAAAACATTAGAATAAAGGGTGTCTAATTTATAAGCCTAGACCTAACCATTTTCAATTTCTGTATTTCCTAACAATACACCATGCATCCAGAGTCAGAAGGAAATGCTTCCAGATCAGAATATGCACCTTCTTATCAGGCAGGGTTGAAACCTTGCACTTACAGTAATGCTAGTGGCTTTCTATTTAACGCATAACTGGAAGGCATTCCAGAGCAAGACTGCCTGGGATAGGCAGGAAGGATACTGTATGGGAAAGCCGATCACTTTCCAGCATGGCAAGTGTACCAAACTCTCAGGTTTGCTTTTCATCATGGCCAAACGTCTCAGTAATGAGCCCGTCTTATCCCTGGCACATAGCAATAAGCACATATCTTGAATTCCATTAATCAAATTTAGTTCCTTACAGCCTTGGGTTTTTTTCCATGCAAAGCAAAGTTTAAATGTGGGGCCAGGAGAGCAGGAGATGATTAGTTTCCTTGAGTCGTGAAAAGGAGGCATGGATATATTTTAATAATAAATTATAACTTGTTTATTGCAGAATGTAGGCAACTTAAGCAATAATCACTCAGGGATGCTTTCCACAATGAAAGATTGTATTAGTTATTTTCCCCCAATGAGCCGTTTACTGCAGAGATGGATAAACCAACAGCCTACAATCTGGATGCACCAGTTCTGTAGCACCCCACAGGTCTCCAGTGCTGCTCAATTTGCTGCCCGAACACCGAACGGCAAGCCATGGCTCTTTTCGAACAAGGTGCTTTTGCATCGTGGACCTTATTTATATAAAGAACTGTGCTCCCAGAAGCATGCCCTCCCGAGCACACTTTCATTTGTAAACACGGTGCGCAGGAAGCACATACGTTATTTTAAAAGGAAGCCACCTTTTCTTGCGGCTACCAGAGCAAACTTAATAATGGCACTGTTTCAACTCCTGGTAGGTTTCGGGAAATGTCAGAACAGCCCTCTAATCCCTTAAAATTGTCCAGCACTACATTGATGGAATTAATTGACATGTAGGCTGTAGTTTAAAACAGTGGTTCTTAACCTTTTTGAAAGAAATGCCCCCTTGAGCCATTGAGGAAGTTATCATCGCCCCCCTCTTATTTCTTATTATATCTTATTTATTTGTTTGTTTGTTTGTTTGTTTATTTAAGACATTCTCGGGGCAGGCGTTTCGGAGCAGCCGCGGGAGAGGTCTCCCCGCAGCCGCTCTGACTCGCCGGCCAGCCGGCCGGCATTCTCAGGGCAGGCGCTTTGGAGCGGCCGCGGGAGAGGTCTCCCCGCGGCCGCTCCGAAGCGCCCGCCGGGGGCCTATGGGGGAAACATCGCTATGCGAGTTTCCTCCATAGACTGCCTCGCTATACGAGGCAGTAGTTTCCCCCAGAAACCTCCTCGCTAAGCGAATTCATCGTTAAACGAAGCATTCGCTAAGCGAGGCACCACTGTATGTTATTTTAAAAGGAATCCACCCTTTCTTGCTGCTACCGGAGCAAACTTAATAATGACACTGTTTCATCTCCTGGTAGGTTTCAGGAAATGTCAGAACAGCACTCTAATCCCTTAAAATTGTCCAGCACTACATTGATGGAATTAATTGACATGTAGGCTATAGTTTAAAAGGTGACATAGAGAAAGAACCCTTTCTCGCCCAGGTTAAGAACCACTGGTTTAAAAGGTGACATAGAGAAAGAACCTTTTGTGCAGGGCTGACAATCCAGAATGTCCAAAGCAAGCAGATCAATTTGCTAGTGGGTATGTAAGAGAGATGTGATGGCGCTGCGGGTTAAACCACAGAAGCCTCTGTTCTGCAAGGTCAGAAGACCAGCCGTCATAAGATCGATTCCACGTGACAGAATAAGCTCCTGTCGTTTGTCCCAGCTCCTGCCAACCTAGGTACTCGAAAGCATGTGAATGTGAGTAAATAGGTACCATCATGGTGGGAAGGTAACAGCATTCCGTGTCTAGTTGCGCTGGCCATGTGACCACAGAAACTGTCTACGAACAAATACTGGCTCTATGGCTTGGAAGCGGGGATGAGCACCGCCCCCTAGAGTTGGACAAAACTGGACAAACTGTCAAGGGGAACCTTTACCTATGTAAGAGTGCTGACGAATCCCTATGCAAGTGGGAAAGAGAAACAATTGTCTTAAGATAGTTCTCACTTACCTGGATCTGGGGGCATGCAGGTACAGGAATAAAGTGTGATATAGTCCACTTTAAAATGAGAATTGATGGGGTAATAATCCGCTAATTTGATCATCTTCTTGAACGCGTCATAGATGAAGATAAAGCTGATCAAGGACGAGAACCCCTCTTCTGTGAACCGGGTAAAATATTGCACCAAGAAGCTGGCATCGGTAGCCACCAGAAGGAGACACAAGAAGGCTGACCACAAACCAATCCAGAGGCGAAACTCCAGGTAATCAAAGCCATTATCTCTACAAATAAAGTGGAAACGGAGGTTAGAGGTTTATTAGAGACAAAAAGCGTCATAGGAAAAAAAGAGTGCAAATCTCCCTCAAGCTTCTGATGAAAAGGACATTTAAAAGCCCCGTTTTTACCTACCCACTCTCAAAATGTCTATATTTCTATAGTCTACATTTTTATATAGAACCTGCATGTCTCATGGTTAGGCTTCATGTAAACATGATCACTGTCAATTCTGACCAGGTGTAGTTCAGTCAGGTGTGCAATCTAAAAGCTGATCCAAGGATCTAGAGAGATATCAAGAACTACATGGCATGCATGGCACGTTAAGGCCTTGGAAGACACCATAGATTCCTCAGTACTGGTGCTTTTCACGGTTTCCCCCCGTAATCAGCTCCGTAACAGGGAATCTACTGCAGAAAAGGAATTTGGTTTCAAACAAGCCTACACTGGTAGAGTAGAAACTAGACATGATTACACACATTCAAATGCAATTAGGGTCCCACATAAAAATAGGCCAATTACATGAATGAACATTGGTTCTGCTCTAGCTAAGACTAGCGGATGAGTTCGGGACCAATGCAAATATATATATATTAGCGATTAAGCTTAGAAAATAGTCTAATGCTACATCATGGAATCTTTCCTCCCACACCTTTGTTTTATAAAACCACTCAGGGTAAACCCTAATTTCTCACTTGCACCGAGAAACAATCAGACGACAGCACATATTTCATCCTCTCATCCCCCTCCCCGCCCGTTTCAATGGGGAAAGAATAGTTCCAGAGAATTCTGCTAGAAGCGACAGGGGTCTCAACCTCCCCAGCCGCTGTTTACTTACTTGCTGAAGTTAAATAAAAGTCGTTCAAAGACCAAGACAGGTCCAGTGCTACTCAGAATAGTGAGCGGCTGGCCGGCAAAAAGGCAAAAGAGAGCTCCCGTAACCGCTGTGCCCAGAAAGCTTTCCAATACACCCTAGGGCCAGAGGAACAAGCAGGTAAGTAACAGGTCCCCAGACTTTTCCCTTCCCAATCAATGGTTGTTTTTCTTATAGAGCTTCAGATCTATGATAGACATAAACAGGAGTTTCAGAGTATGTGACAGGCTCAAGCAGTACTTCACCACTGCGCTCTCTTACTGCGTTTCCATGGCTGAGCAGGGATTTGAACTCAGGTGTTCTGAAATCTAACCTGACACTGTTCAATATACCCGCACCGGCCTTCCCTATGGACAGTCATTATATAAGGTACAACAGATGGCCACATAAACCTCTTCTTCTTCTTCTTCTTCCCGTGTTGAAATCCAGATCACTGGGGAGACACAGTCATTGGGCCCATTTTAAGACTGAGACAAAAATCAGTTCAGTTTATACGACTGATCCAGCACAAAAGGTTGCATGAAATAAATGTCAAATGAAAAGTGTTAGCCCTTAAGATGCCACAAGACTCTTTGATTCCACTTCATGGGCTGCAGCCTAAAGGTTAGTGAACAACAGCCTGTTTCTTTATGTTGGTGGCTCAGCCATGAGGTGGAATCTCAAAACTGCCTTCGGCCTCCCCTTACATAATATATTTAATCCACAAATGGATGTGTTCTGGAACAAGCCAGAGGGTTTTCTTTTTACCTAGCATGAAAAGGATTCTTACATACCCAAGTTTCTAAAACAAGCTTCATTAAGTAGCCCAGTGCTCTCTAGAAGTGTCTACCTACAACTCCCATCATCCCCAGCCAACATGCCATTGCTGTGCTTCCTGAAAAATGATGGGAGTTGTTCTCCAACAGATCTAGAGGACACTCGGTTAGGGAAATCTCCTTTCAGGCTTCTCTGTATAAGCTTTTTAGTTGTTGTTGTTGTTCTTACAGGCCAGGCTGCTCAGCAAACAGATCTCAGAATATTCATGCACACTGTAAAAAGGCTGCAGCCATCTTCACAGGTTTCGCTTGCTCCAGCGCCCCCTACCACCCCCCTTCTGCTCCAGCGCCCCCATGCCACCCTTTTTCGTTCTACTGCCCCCCTGAAAAATAGAAATCGCCCCCTGGGGGGCATTATCGCCCACGTTAAGAACCACTGATCTAGAGGACACTCGGTTAGGGAAGTCTCCTTTCAGGCTTCTCTGTATAAGCTTTTTAGTTGTTGTTGTTGTTCTTACAGGCCAGGCTGCTCAGCAAACAGATCTCAGAATGAGACCATATCGCAAGGCTCCAAAACAGTTAAATCAGGTGCCCTTGATCATGCACTCAAAATTCCAACTTTTGTGGACACCATAATTCCTCTTTCCTGTTTGGAGACATGAGGAATGAAAAATAAAGACACTTCATAGTATCTCCAGGGCTAACACAAAATAGTTATGTTTAGGGGACAGGCGGGGAAGTATCTGGAACGCTGAAGCCCACGGACAGATTGAACTGTTTCGTTTAACTAAGGGCAAGCAACATTCTTAGCTGCAGATGTTGTTTCTTTTATAGAAACAATAAAACAAGAGGACATTTTTGAAAGCGTGCAACCCTGACCTAGGCTGTCTGCCTGTATCTCTAGTGACCCTTGTTCATTTTGGCCCTCTAGTCAGATAATACAAGCTTCAGAAGTCTCTTTTCCCAGAATCTCCCAAACAAGACAGTCTGGAAAAGTTGGCTGGCTTGTTTGGGGAATCACATTGCAAAATAAAAATGTTCCAAGTTTTGCTTAAGAGCCCCTAAACTCATTTTAATGAGTTTTTTTAAACACCATCTCTGGGTGAAATCAGAAGTTTGATAAAGAAAATATCCCCAGTCCAAAATGGTAAGATACATCTGCTTAATGCTTGGTATATTCATTGAAGTCTTTTCTCAGTAAAGCCCTTCCTTCTGAGGTTAGATGGGTTGTCTGCCTTCCATAACTGAACTGAAAGGGTTTGCTTTGTGCTATTTTTTAGCCACCAAAGCCAACGATACCAGTTTTCACTAGTATAAAATATACTGTAAGGAAAAAAAAAACAATGAAACTTTTCTTTTCATCTGATGACCCTGCTCTCTTATGAGCTGTTTTTAATCCTTGTATTTTATTGTATTTATTTATTGTTGCAAAGAGGAGTGGTGGGCTTCTGCACTTGAATTTTACAAACAACCAAAAATTAGTAAACCTCGCTTTGGTTTTACACAATTTAAAATGGTATGGTAAAGACAACCCTATGTTCTCAGAACCACTAAGCCTTGATTCAAGACCTCAAAAAAATAAATAAAACCAGGAGGTCGTATCAGTGGCAAACATCCTCTTTCTGTTTTACTGAGTCAAAACACAGAGGCACAAACATGATAAATAGTTCACATCACTCTGGATGCAGTGCTAATATTGAGCTATTATACAAAGAATACAATACACAGAATCGTATGACACAGTTCCCAAGAAACTGCTTTTCTCAAAGGTCTTGTTAGCAGAGATCATGAAGAGCCTTCACAGGAGAGAAACACGTCAGCAAACACAACTGAATTGGATAAATTGATTTAGAACTAGCATTGGTCTAGTGTGTGTGAACTCTTAGGAAGGGAGAGGCAACATAACGTTCCCCCTTCGACCCTGCTAGATTTTCTCATATGAAGTATAGGCCTGCAAACTCCAAGATGCAATGAACCACATGGCTATTTACCTACATAAAACCCAGGATCCGACTCTGCAATCTGATTCCCCATAGGTTAGATTTTATCTATGCACAAGGCATACAGGTATTTAAAACACACAAGGACATCTAGTTGGGCCAGGATGAGGGATAGGAACGAACTGCTAAAGCCCTCAATGGCCTGGGGTCCAAGCTATCTCAAAGACGGCGTCTCCCCTTTACGTGCCTGCTTGGGTGTTAAGAACCCCAGGAGGCCCCTTTCTCTTGGTCTGACCATCTTCACAGGTGTGTTTGGTGGGGGCATGGAAGAGGCTCTGTTGGTGTTCCTAAACTCTGGAACTCCCTCCCCACAGGCATAGCATTTTAATAACGGCTCAAGAAACGGGCTCTCAACGAATTTAAAGATAGTCAAGATTCTCTCTTCCTTGAAGACAATATACCCTCATTCTCTTTAGCTTAGCCGCTTCTGCTCTTTTCTAGATCTGTATGTTCCTCTGATTCATTAATCCAACCTTCATCCTGGAACCCTGGCTGCCTGACCAGTCTCTCCTTACCTAGCTACTGGATCCAATACACAAACTAAGTTGCAGTCTTGGTCTGTTTTGCCTGGACCTCCTGAGAAATCATTCTACATGGACTGGTCGAGGTGCTGGTAGACACAGAGTAATCTACAGAGTAGTTATGCTTTGTGAATCCAAAGCAAAGCCAGTAGCATTAACACTGTCCCTGGCCAGAGATGAGAAACGTGACTACAATTCCAGGAATTTCATAGCAAGCATGACAGTGACCATATTTGTCATGGCATTCTTGGAATTGCACGGACCCTAACTAGCGCCAGGTTTTCTTGGCCAAGCAGCACTATCAATGTGCCTTCCTCAGTCCTGCCTCTTCAGCCAGTTCCTCCCTCGCTGCCTTGCAACATGTGCTGGAAGGAGAAGGGCATGGTAGGAGTTGCTGACCATCTCCAGACTCAACAACCCGTTTCCATTTCCTCTCAGATGCACACTACCCAACACCAAATTAGGTCACACCATAGGGAAATAAAATTCCACAAAACAAAGTTCACTTTATGCATTAAATAGAAAGCCACTAGTGTTTTTTCTTCTTCTCTTGAAATGGAAAATCTCTCTGACCATGACTTTTGAAGGTGAAAATAGTCTACACTCAGATTGCTTCCTCTTGCTTACAAAGGATGCCGTTCAACTGAAATGTCTAGGAAAATTAATATATGTATGAAACATGAAGATCAGAGCAGGAGGCAGAAATGGAAGTCAAACAGGTACACAAATAAATAAAGCAGACTTAAAAGAATGCCAACATCAAATAACAAAAGGAAAGGAAAGGGCAAAGAGAGCGACTCTAATACAAAAATAAAGGACAGAAGCTAAATTTTGCAATCCAGGAAGCTCTGGAAATGATAAAGGGACCATGAAAATGTTTGTTACACTGCCTTCCTTCCTACTCGTGCAGTATTCTAAGAATGATTTATCTCCAGATCTCCTGGAACATTTGTGTAAACAGATTAATTTTGTTGGGTTTGCCAGACTCAGTATGTCCCCCCTCCCCATGCAGGCTAGTAGGGAATTCTTATTACGCAGTAAACCATTTGGCACAAATAGCACCTTTTTGTACACCACTGTAAAACACACAAGTATTACAATTAAATCTGCACTGATGATATTTCAGGCCTTGAACTATATTGGCCAGAAGTTAAACCCAGAACCTCTTTTGAATTCTAGTCTCCTGTCCTAAAAACACAAGAAATTACTGTTTAGTGTGCCTGCAGAGTGTTCTTCCTGTGTCCATTTTAATAATCACTCTGTACATCTAAGGTTACAGGCTTACGGATTAGAGGATGTATTTATTTTATTTCATTCATTTAAAATATTTTTACCCTGCCATTCGCCTCAAAAAAGGTCTTAAGGCAGCTTATATCATTAAAAACACCACGTAAAAGGCTAAAAACAGCCAATTATTCAAATATTAAAGAAGAATTAATAACATTATATTAAACGTTTTAGGTAAAAGCATAACTAAAAACAGATTTAGAAGCAACAAAATAAACCATCCTCTGTCTTGTCTCCTAGACAGTCAGTCACTAAGGGAAAGCCTGCCTGAAGAGAAAGGTCTTTGCCTGCTTGCAGAAGGACAGCAAAGATTGGGCCAGACTGGGCCTCCTGTGGCAGGGAGTTCCAGAGTCTGGGAGCAGCCACAGAGAAGGCCCTTGTCCTGTGTCCTCACCAAGCATACCTGTGAGGTATATGTAGTATCTGAACATTTTTTTAAAATCCCAACATCTCTTTGTACAGAATATCCACTGGCTGATTTTCTATCCAACACTGTAGCAGTTCTCAAAGAGGTAGCTATGTCAGTCTTGGCATGTCTGTCTGTTGTTGTTGTTGTTTAGTCGTTAAGTCATGTCTGACTCTTCATGACCCCATGGACCAGAGCACGCCAGGCCCTCCTGTCTTCCACTGCCTCCCGGAGTTGGGTCAAAGTCATGTTGGCATGTTTATCAAAAACCAAAACAAAATTTAATTCTGTTTCAAATGCTTGTTTTCAGTTTAGTTAGTTAATTCAATGTACTTGATTATGTTATTCTTTTTTGTTATAGTAATTGTCTGTGAACCACCCCAAGTGACCAGAGCTTATCAGAGAAATCAATACTATATGTCAAGGTTAGTCTGTTCTGTCTATTACTTCCCATCAACTGCTACCAGACACTTAATTATCATTATTATGCTAGAAGCCAAGATTTTTAAAGGAGCATGTGAAGAATAGATGTAAAGTCATGGTTTAAAGATGATCCCCCTCCTACAGGTGTTCTCAAGGTGATGCTACTATATCAGCACTGCAAACTCATATGAATCCACAGGGAAAGATATGTGATCTCGCTGAGATATGCAAGCCAATTTATAACTTTGTCACTATAAAATGCTTCCCTCCACTCTTCTTCATTTTCTTCATTTAATACATGATGTATAGAAGACCTTCCAGCTTAAGTGGAATTGCGCAGTCCAAAGTTCATTACACAGATGCAAAATCCAAGAATTTTACTAAACCATTGCAACACCATGTCTCCTAACAATGCGAGGAATGGTGTAGGAGCTTTTTTTAAATCTGATTGCACCCATTTACTGTTTTCTATAGCAGGTGTTAGCTCTGCTACATGAAGATTTGGTGAAAGCTCAGCTGATCAAGCCCAACCGGTTGCAACCGTAAATGTTGGAGAAGACTTTTCAGAATCAAGGCTGACCTGCATATTATCCGTTGCATCTCCCAGCAGCCCTCCAAAGGTAATGGCGTTGGTTACAGTAGCCAAGTAGATGAAGAGAATGGCGGAAAGGGCTTGGATGTTGAATGCGTCGTAGAAGTCACTGGCAAAGAAAGGGGCTTTCCTCTTGATATCTTTTATCAAGCCACCAAAAAGTCTGAGCAAAAGGAGAATGATGTGTCAAAATTACATTAGTCCAGGCATAAAAGGAGAATCTGAAAACAAATTGTGTGCGTGCGTGCGTGTGTGCGTGTTTGCGTGCGTACAAAACCATGTGTGACAATCTATGGCAATATCCCTTACTTATGTAAATTACATTCTTTTGCCAATTACCTGCCAGTTCGTTGCAATTCTTCACAATCCCCATGTCCGCCGCCTCCATTTCCTCCATCGTGAGGAGTGTCTCCATTCATCTGGACGTTCTCACCACCTGAATACATGTTTTTCCTATCCAGAAACAAGGAATGAAAACCCCACTGGGCTTGCACAAATATAATAAAACAGAATAATACAAATGAATCGTGTTAGCAAAACACATGTCACTGGCAAAGTAAAATATTACCAATGTTTTACAGTGAGCAAGAACTAGCTATAAAATCCCACCTATTGTGTCTGTCTACATTCTGTATAAAATGTAATATATAACAAAACTCCCAGCAAAAAAAATTGCCATAAACAAAGACTTCGTTGGCAGACTATTGGAATGTAAGAGGGCTGATTGCTCCGCAAACTTTGCAAAACCACCACCACCCCGTTCAATAAGACGCATGTAGCTAACACCTACCTGCGGGTGCCAATTCTCACAAATAGTGGCTAGAATCTAAGTATTTCAGATTAGTCAACAGACCAACAAATAACCATCATGTTGGGTGGAAACTACTCATTTTTTTTCTCCTCCTAGTACCCCCCACCACCATGCCTCTCTTTCAAGTTCAGTCATTTGTATCACAGCTAATGGATCTGACTGGGAAACTATATGGCTGTTGACAGTATGCATGAAATTTTTTAAGTATTGCTGGGAGCATCTCAAACATGATTGCTGAGACTACCCAGCTTAGGTAGACCACATTCTACTCTACCGCCAGCTGCTAGTCTCCAGGTCAGAACCTCAATCCAAGACGTTCTCCAAAACCCAACATTGTGTCTCCATCTGGCTCCAAACAAATGTATCTTTGAATGTAAAACCAGTCAGATTCCATAGACTGCCTTCACCTGCATGGCTTAGCATCTCTAAGTAAAAGGAGGTCTACAGCGGGCAGATGTGTTACCTTTTGTCAGATGATGGGAGGGACTTAGGGGGCTCTATCCTGATAGCAGGATCCCACTCCCCAGGGGGAAGCACAATGACTTCGTCCAGGAACTCATCGATGCCAGCGATCAGGTCCTGCCTGTCTTTGGCTTTATAGGCAATGTCATGGAATACCTTCAGGTAGGGGAGAGAAAAGGGAGAGGGTGAGATTCTCCCTTGGCTTTCTACAAATACTGAAAGTGGTACTTTGTCGTAGGTCAGCAGCTGTTTGTCAATCCAGCACAGCACTCTGTACTCTGATTGGCAGCCGTGTCTCTTAAGGTTTACAAGACCATGTATTTCATGTTAGATCATTTTAACTAGACATGCTAAGGACTGGATTTGGCATTTTCTACATGCAACGCCTTCGTTTTTGCCACTGAGTCCTGACCCATCTTTCTTATAGAACGTGAAACACTGCAAACCCGAGCACAGCCATGCCATCCAACCGATGGTAGCTTTTCCCTGGTGGGTTTTTCTCTTAAGTGACGGTGTCTTAAAACTGGCCGAGGAGAGAGTCTTAACATTCCTGCCAGCATATAAAACACTGCAAGTCTTCACAGTGGCATTCTTGAGGGTTGTCCAACAACTCTCAACGCTGCTTCACAACTTATCACTTTTATTTTTATTTACGGCCAGTCAAGATTTTGCAAGAATTCTTCCCAGGATGAAAGCAGACCCTTAATTTGGAAACCAACACACCATCATACAGCAGTAAACGTTTAAACTAGATATTCCCAGGAAAGGAATGTGTGAGGGCTGCTGAATTCTTTCTCTACTTAACGACTTTTTCTTGCCCTCTTTCCCCAGGGCTGACTCACTCCTTATCTAGGCTGGACTATTTTCTTGTTACTGGCACCAGCTAAAGTGTCTAGCTAGCAGGGTGCAAGTTTAGATGAGTTTGGACGGAAGCGGCAAGCAGAGGAAATAATCGGTACCTGTCCGTTTTTTAACCAGAGGTTATTCCACACTAAAAGTTACAACTTTTCCAATCGGAATTCTCCCTTCCTTATCCCATTTATCGTGGGACTTTTACCGTACCAAGGCCACAACCTTTATTCAAATACAAAGAATGGCAACCTCTAAAGTAGTTCTGCATTCAGGAATTCATGGCCATGGGGTGTATCAATGCAGGCAGTTATCAAGACCCTTCCCATAATCAAACTCTTCTGTAAGGAGAGTCCAAAAATATAGGCAGCTGGGTCAGTTTATATCAGCAAATGAGAAGCAAGTCTTTTGTAAAGACTTTGGCTATTCAAAGCCAAACTGACCTCGTATACTTTGCATTACGGCAGAAATAGTTTACAACTAGAGTAGTCCTAGAATGAGCTGGAATTTTTAGCATGTATCCATTACTGAAACAGCGACATCTACGTTGGTTCGGGCATGTCGTGAGAATGGCTGATGGTCGGATTCCAAAAGATCTCCTGTATGGAGAATTAGTGCAGGGAAAGCGCCCCAGAGATAGAGACCTTGTATTGCAGATATCCTTGTATCCTGCAATACAAGGATATCTCCAAGCGGGATCTGAAGGCCTTAAGAATGGGCCTCAAGTGATGAGAAACCCTGAAATCTGAGCGGTCAGCCTGGAGGCAGGCGGCGCATAATAACGTTCAGCCTGGAGGCAGGCGGTGCATAATAACCTCTCCCGTTTTGAAGAGACCCTTGTCCAGCAGGCCGAGGCAAAGAGGCAGTCCCAAAACCAGCAAAATCAGGGAGCTGGACAGGGGACAGATTACATTTGTCTTCAGTGTGGAAGGAATTGTCACTCTTGAATTAGTCTTCTCAGCCACACTAGAAACTGTTCCAAGACCTCTATTCAGAGCACGTTACCATAGTCTCTTGAGACTGAAGGATGCCTACTATAGTTTACAGTGTCAGTCTGTTCCTGAGAAAAACAATTTCTCTCCTAGTTATGGTGATGGTTGTAGCTAATATGGGGGAACAGGCAGATGGCAGATAATGTCATAGTCCGTGCTCCTCAAAAAATCCCGGGGCTTAGAGGCTGCAAGCCTTATCTCCACTAAAACACTGGTCAGGATTGACTGTGTTTCTCCATACAGCTTGGAAAATCTGCATTTTCTAAATTACAATTTTCAGAAAAACCCAGACCAGCATGACTGCTGGTCATGTGGGCTGAGAGGTTCCAGCAGCTTTATTCCAAAACAGAGATGGGCATGAACTGGTTCGTCCCAGTTCGTAAAGGCGGCAGCACAAGTGTTGCTGGTCCTCTCCCTTGCCTCCTCTGGGCTCAAATCAGCCCCTCACCAGGCCCTAAGTGCGAGATTCCTCCACCTCCTCAGCAGATCTCCCAGTCCCGGCAGCAGCTCAGGCTTCTCTGCCCCGCCCCTTTGGCTGATCTCCCAATCAGAGAAAAGGGCGGGGCAGAAAACTCTGTGCCCTTGTTCATGACTGGGAGATTAGCTGAGGAGGTGGAGAAATGCAAGCAAGCTGGGCCTGGTGAGTGGCTGGATCAGGGGAGGAGGTGAGGGGCACACCACCTGTGCTGCCGCCTTTACAAACTGGGACAAACTGGTTCGTGCCTATCTCTAATCCAAAAACGTAGCATGGTTCTCTGAAACAAACTGGCAAACTCATTCTTACTGCAACGTAAACCGTAGCAAAGTCTTCAAATTCTCCACCCCTGGAGGCTCACTGACGACAGAACACTTTCTGGAAATATTAACAGCATTGGCTTTTTGTGGTTATGAGGAGAAAGCCTCCAAATGCAAAATAAATAGCATGAGTCAACACAGAAGGGAAATTACCTCATCGGACATCAAAGTGGCAATGGCTCGGCCAATCTCGTGGTACGATTTAGCTTTGCCTTTGGGACCGAGCAAAATGAAGAGAAACCTGAACTCAAATGGCGGGCAGGGAGAGGGGAAGGGAAGGAAAAATAAAAATAAATGCTGTTATGATTCAAAGTATTTTTTAAAGATACAAAATGCTCAGTAAAATCTGTATCACTGAAAGGACATAAAAAGCAATGGAGCATGGAGATTCATAAAGTTCATACCAGCGGCAGTTTTAAAAAAAAGATGAAGGAAAGTTCATGAATATTAAAAATATGTTAAATGCCCACTTTGTGAATACACAGCAGCAAATTATGCTAAGAAGAAGGTCTTATCCAGCCCCTCCCCCATCCCAGAAGTACAAAACAGTCCACAGCTCCCCTTGAAGGACAGCTAAGAGACAGTGGAAATAATCCTGCAAATGTAAACCACTACCAAACAGGGAAGATTATGTCCCCCAGATCAAGATCAGATTCAAACTTTGTTCTAATTATACCTGTTGAATTCATGGAATTTAATTTTGTGATAAGAACTATTTAAATAGGCCAACTCTTAAGGATGACAAAGTTTAGATCCAGCTCACCATATGGAACATATTTTGCTATACTATATGAATCCTTTAGAGGCTAAAACACAGTACTCAGAACCACCAAGCAGAAATGACTTCACAGCTAGAAAGCACACTGGCTCATGGCCAAACGACTCGGCTAACAGTAGAAGACAACATGGGTCTTTCTAATGATCACTCTTCGAATTCTTGCAGCTTTGAAGATTTATGACTTTTGGGCTACTGTTCCATTTGTAAATCCCAGTTCCACTACAGACTTCAGATACAACTGTGCTCATGCCAACTCTTGCTGTCTTGATCTGGTATGCCTAGTTTAAGGTGTCAAGCAAGTTATATGCAATAGCATCCTCTCGAGTAGCGCTATATTAACTATAGGGCCCCTTTCTAAGCAGGACCTATCCAATAGTTCTGGGAGGAGTGAAAAATCACACTTCTGCTTCAACTGGACTAACTGGGTTTAACACATGGGCAGATCCAGGCTAAAAGACTAAAAAAGAGAGGGGCTGAAGAGAAGCAAAGGCCTGTTTTAAGGCAAGGAGGTAGGATGGCCAGGATTACACAAGTCATTATTTTTCAAGCAAATGAGTTCTAAATAAATAGCCATCGTTGGAACTCTAACAAACAGGGTTTATTGAGCTGCTTCATTAAACCCAGCATTGGCCCTTACGGGACACCCTTAAGAGGGTCTTGCAGCTGCTCAAAAATGGTGCCTCACTAACTCAGGGTGTTGCACAGCTCCTACGTGACTTAAGGAAGTGCTCAAAATCTGGTTGACAGCGACCAATATTGTCATTCCTATTCCACCACAAGATTTCTGCCATGGCCTCACCGACACAAGTACGTTCTCTTGGCTTATGAATATAGATTTTTCCCCTTTTCTTGAACTTTCAATTATATACTTGAAGAGGCTCGTTTACCGAGTAGGAACAGGGACTTCTGTGAGAGCACCGAGCATAACTGCTTGTTGCAGCCGAACGAAGGCAATGAAAGGAGCTTCCAAGAAGTCTACTTCTCCGACCAGAACGTTGGAGGCCTCGGCATCTCGAGGTAACTTCTTCATGAACTTGTTCTTCAACTGCAGGAAAGAGGGAAACACAAGAGTCTCATGAGAACAAATACTTCCGATCTTTAATTTTGAGCCAGAAAAAAATGAGTAGGATATATTTTACCAAACCCTTGACCATTCTTAGAACAACAGTCGTTGGTTCAAAGAACATCTGGTTCTTTATTATCAGCATCCCCTAGGCATGCAGTCTAGTATGCTTTTATCTCCTAAATTGTTGCATGTCTTGACATGAAATTAATCCCACTGTCTTCTAATTCACCTTTTCTTTCTTATTCTATAAATCAATCAATCAATCAATCAATCAATCAATCAATCAATCAATCAATCAATCCAATCATCTCTATGAAAGCAGCATTTTCAGCACAGAAGAATACAGGCATTTATGATATTTTCATGACATTCAGAACCCCTTTGTTGTTGTTTAGTCATTAAGTCGTGTCCGACTCTTCGTGACCCCACGGACCAGAGCACGCCAGGGCCCCCCCATCTTAAATCTACCTCCTGGAGTTAGGTCAAATTCATGTTGGTAGCTTCGATGACATCAGAACCCCTAACTGTTCCTTATTCTCAGGAAATACTTGCTACACTGAATACTGCTGATAGTAACTGCATAGGTAATATTTTAATTTTAGACTAACTTGATGTGATGAATTGATTCCCAAATACTTCAGGGAGGGGGAAGAATTTCCACTTCTTATTCTACTGAAAAGTACAGATGGAATGATAATCCAGTTGCATTTTTCATCCTGTCCTTAATGTTCTAGGACTGAATCGTATCTGAAATGTTCCAAATACCATTTTCAGATAAGTTATAAATCCATATCTGGACTGGAAAGCAGAGTGTCAATAGCAAAAGGTATCTTGGGATGTTTTTCCCCCCAACTATGCATGTTATTTCTCCCCCAAAGATACAAGGATGGTCCAAGGGTTGCCCATCTGCATAGATGCATACAACTAGGAACTTCTGTGGTTCAAATCACCAACTGCTTACAGCCTATTTACAACTCCAACATCCACTGTGATGCAAGTCAGCAGAAAGGAGACATCATCCTAATTTCAGTTATCCAAGCAAGCAACTAGAACAGTCTTCAATAGTTTTTCAGGATTGTCAGTAAACAAAGAACAAGAACATCAAGAACAAAATCACTAGGAACAAGACATGCCTCCTTGAAACACGGTATGAATAAGCAGAGCCGCGGTAACGGTGGTGGCTGGAATATTGGTTTAGAATTCTGTAAACCTTGCTTCAAGCCCTCACTCAGCCATCAACTCACCAGGTTGATCACTGGTTCTCTGTAAGCTAATGCCAGGGCATTCATGAAACAGGATATAAAGCTCATGCCCTACAATCCTCCGCAACTTTCAAACAAGGCTGGAAGTGGAAAAACGATAGGGTAGTTGACCCACAATTATGGCAGAGATATAGGAAGAGCGCACACACCTGTCTCCATCGCTAATACTTCACGGTACCTATGCTGCAGTTTCACGACAGCTGACTTCTAGCACTCAGGATGCTGAAGTCAAACCCGTGTGTTGGCAAGGCCTGCCGTGTTGCAAGTCCTGCTCAAATCAAAGGAACTGGAACACAGGTCCCCAATTTGTGGGTCGGAAACCCCAAGCAGGTCACAACGTAATTTCTGAGGGGTCGCTGTGATTTTGGAGGAGGAGGACACCCCTGAGTTGCACTCCATTCCCCAGTTCCTTTCTGCATGCATCCCGTCCTTCCTTTCCTTGAACACCTTCAAGCCAAGCTCTTTACCCTATTAAAATGCCTTTTTAATGCAAATTTGGCAGGGGGTTGCGGGATATTTAGCCATTATCAAAGGGGGGGGGTCACTCTCAAAAAAGGCTGAAAAACACAGAACTAGAATAACAGATGACAGAGTCATTTCTAGTTGTGGTGGGGTTTCAGATTCTTATCCTGCCCCATCATACACTGATACAAAATAACTTATGAAAAGTAAAGTAGAAATC